ATGAGTTTTAACTTTTTTATCTCTTAATTTTTAAATATTTTAAAAATATTTTTCTTTTTTGTTAAATTTTTATGCATTTCATACAACACATCTTAATTATATCTAGACCCCACTCTCCTATCTACACTCCTACATTGCCACCCCCACCAGATTTCATGCATCTGTCATATATGTTAAGGCCTACTGAGTCAAGTTTGTGTTCACAGATGTTTCTTAGTGTGAGTTCATCCACTGGAGCCTGGTCAGCCTAACTAGCATCAGTCCTTTAAAGAAGACTGTGGTGTTTTGAATGAAAATGTCCCCCATAGGCTCCAAGTGTTTGGATATTTTGTCCCCAGATGATGGCACTCTTTTGGGAGGTTTCAGAAGGTGTGGCTATCCTGGAGGAAGCACATCACTGGGGGTGGGCTTAGAGAGTTCTTAAGCCTTGCCAGATCTCCAATTGCCCTCTCTTGCTTCCTGTGTCTATATGATGATGTGAGAGCCTCACTTCTGCTCCAGCCACCTCCAGCCACCATGCCTCCCTGCCATGATGGACTGTAATTCCCCTAAGCTCAAAAACCGTAAGCTCAAATAAACTCTTCCCTCTTTAAATTGCTTGGGTCAGTGTTTCTATCACAGCAACAGAAAAGTGACTAATACAAAGACCAACTGTCCCTCAATCAGCAGTGATCAGTTTCCAATAGTTTCTCAGCTAAGGTTGGGGCTTTGTACCCATTTCCCTACTTCTATGCTGTGTTTTTGTTGGATTTGAGTTTGCATGGGCCTTGAGCATGCTGTCACCATTGTTGTAAGTTCAAAGAAACAAGTTCCCAGTCACCTGGAAAACTGTTTCTTTGTGGTCATCCACCACCCCTGGCTCTTACATTCTTTCTGCAATGGCCCCTGAGTACTGGGTGGCAGAAGTTTAATATAGGAATCCTCTCCAGGCACATGCACTCTGCAGTCTTATCCTCTACATTTTGGCCAGTTGTGGCTTTCTGTGTTGATCTCCATCTGTTGTATGAGGAAGCTTTGCTGGTTGAGCTGAGAGATGCATGCAATTGTTTTAAAACATTTTTATTAATTATTTTACAAAATACATTGTATTTTGGTCATATTCATCCAACTCCTCCCTGATCCATCCCCCTTCCCTACCTAACCAACTTTGCTTTCTTTCTTAAAAAAAACAAAAACATTGAGGCTAATCTGTGCTGCCCATAAACTCACGGATATATGGCTATCACTGGAGCATAGTCAACTACCATGGGCCAAACTTGTAAAGAATATCAACTATCCCTCTCTCAGAGGCAATTGCCAATAGCTTCTCAGCTGGGTGTGGGAACTTCATGCCCACCCCTCCCCCCTCCAGGCTGGGGTTTTCTTTGCCTCGAGCTTGAGCAGGTCTTGTACATGCTGCCATAACCTCTGTGAGTCCAGATGTACAAACATTGCATGTTCTCTCTCATTTGTGGGTGTTGGCTTTGAATTTTTAAATATGTGTGTTTCATTTGGAATACGCATAAAAATCAAGAAATTAGTAAGGGCCCATGGAGGAGGGGCTTTGAAGGTAGGGGAGAGAGACCACAGTGATACAAAGGGAAAAGGGAAATAATGGGTGAGAAAAGGTAGATGGGGCAGGGGGTGGGAGGACAGAGGAGAGGAGAGGTCTAACTAAAGGTAGATGGGGCAGGGGGTGGGAGGACAGAGGAGAGGAGAGGTCTAACTAAAGGTAGATGGGGCAGGGGGTGGGAGGACAGAGGAGAGGAGAGGTCTAACTAAAGGTAGATGGGGCAGGGGGTGGGAGGACAGAGGAGAGGAGAGGTCTAACTAAAGGTAGATGGGGCAGGGGGTGGGAGGACAGAGGAGAGGAGAGGTCTAACTAAAGGTAGATGGGGCAGGGGGTGGGAGGACAGAGGAGAGGAGAGGTCTAACTAAAGGTAGATGGGGCAGGGGGTGGGAGGACAGAGGAGAGGAGAGGTCTAACTAAAGGTGGAGAGGAGAGTTCTAACTAACGGTAGATGGGCCAGGGGGTGGGAGGACAGAGGAGAGGAGAGGTCTAACTAAAGGTAGATGGGCCAGGGGGTGGGAGGACAGAGGAGAGGAGAGTTCTAACTAAAGGTAGATGGGTCAGGGGGTGGGAGAACAGAGGAGAGGAGAGGTCTAACTAAAGGTAGATGGGGCAGGGGATGGGAGGACAGAGGAGAGGAGAGGTCTAACTTTTTTAAAAAACATTTATTTTTATTTTATGTGTGTGAATGTTTTGCCTGTGTGTATGCAAGTGCCTGCAGAAGCCAGAAGAGGGTGCTGGATCCCCTGAACTGGAGTTATGAATGCTTATTAGCGACTGTGTGGGTTCTGGGAACCAAACCCAGGTCCTCTGCAAAAGCAGCCAGTGCTCTTAACCACGGAGTCATCTCTCTAAGCCCTAAAGGGTTCTAACTTTTGATGTTCTAATTCAGCTTGATTCTAACCTATGTTCCAATAAAGCATGTCCTTGAAAGCCCTGCACCCTACCAATGTGTGCTCAGAGTCAGTAACTGGACTTGGTACATAGGGAACTGGAACAGACTCTGTGATGTCTGATGCTGCCACTAAGGAGAGATGACCAGTCTTTACTTTCCCACCACCCTACCCTTCTCCAGAGCCCCAAACACACAAAGAAGCAGAAGGCCAGCTGGAAGAAAGAAGCTCTGATGACCCCCAAATTTCCAGAATGCTCACTGCCTCTCCAACAGGATCTTGTTCAGTCAACGATTCAGCCATATCCTGAATCACTTCAGAGATGTGACAGCTGAACAGGGCAATGGAGGAAATCCCAGATGCCAGTGTGGCATATGGAAAGAGGTACTGATCTCATACCATCAAACCTGACTTTGAATTCTGGCTTTCCTGCCTACTGGCCATAGGAGCTGAGGAGGGAGTTCCAACTTTCTGTGTCTCAGTTATTCAGACTTACAAGAGCAATAATAATATGAATACAACAGGGATGTGTGTGCCTGTGGGTACGTGTGTATGTGTGTATGATATTAAGATCACATGATTAGGACCCCAGAACCTGGCACACAATCATCATCTCTTTGTATCTGGATATGTCTTTAATCAATCATTACTTTCCTGGAAGCAGATACCACTCCTAATTTGTCTTTCTACCCATCAGAGAGGTACTCATCAAGTGCTAATGAATTCATGTTGTTAAATTCATACTCAAGTCCAACTTGCTGTCATCTCAAAAGGATTCCAATGACTACAAGACTTTGATAGACAAAAATATGGGGTTTGCTTTCTCTTTCCATACCAGGATTCCTGGGATTGTTTTTAAATCTCCATGTATCTGCTCACTTCTTGTGAAAACAACATCAAGCTAGCACAGTAAGAGCTTGGAGACCAAATGGCAGAGTTGCCATGGTATACATTCAATGGGATGTATATAAGCTCTGGATCTAGAGAAAGAGAGAGACAGAGACAGAGAGAGACAGGCAGGGGCAGGGAGCTGCCATCATGAACCGCTGGCTGACAGCCAGGTACTCGTCTTCAAGTGCTCACACTTTGTGACAGACTACTCTAGTAAGAGTGATGACCTGTTATTTGGGCAGCATGAAGATGGGGTGGTTATACACAACCATCAGATCAAACGTTGATTCTGCCTTAAAACACAGAGATGATTGAAGTCAAAATGAAATTCTTAATTTATAAAAGCTGGGAAATAGTTTGAAGCATTACTTAATGCCATGTTGGAAAGAAACACAATAAAGTGATCTTTCTGCATTAAAGGCATTTTCTCAAAGTGCCAGGGTGACTTCTGTACCAGAACTCAGTGGAGACTGTGTGAGGTTTCACAAAAAAGTACCGGTGACAAAAGATGCCCGGCACTTAGCAGAGGGGAGGCAGCAATGGAACACGGGCATGACATGAGCCACGCAGTTCTGGGCTATGATAGAAGCTTCTACAGGGTGGGTAAGGGTCAGAGAGAGGTCATCAGTTCAAGTCTGCCAAGAAGCTCTATAAATGGAGCCCATCTTAAAAGTAGATCAAGTAAACCTTCAAGACTGGCTGGCAAGATAGATCAGTGTGTAAAGTGTGTGCTGCACAAACCTGGTGACCTGAGTTTGAGGCCCAGAGCACACATAAAAGTAGGAGGGAACCAAGGCTACAGTTACCATCTGACCTTTACAAGCACACTGTAGCACATGTGCCCACAAACTTGCACACATGCACAGGCATACACATACCACACACACCACAAAAATTATTTCATAATAATTTTTTAACTTTTTATTTTTTTCATTTTATGTGTATGAGTGTTATGCCTGCATGTATGTAAATGCCCCTGTGTCACGCAGTGCCCACAGAAGCCAGAAGAGGTATTGGATACCCTGGAACTGGAGTCACAAACGATTGTTAGCCACCATATGGGTCCTGGGATTCAAACCTAGATCTTCTGCAAGAGCAGCCAGTGCTCTTAACCACTGAGCCACCTCTCTCTAGTCCCAAAATAATTTTTTTTTAATTAAAGCTCATTCAAAGCCACTCTTGAGCCAGGCATGGTGGCACACACCTTTAGTCCCAGAACTCAGGAGGCTGAGGCAGGTGGATCTCTGGGAGAGAGTAGCCTTGTCTACACAGTGAATTCCAGGCCAGCTGGGGCTACAG